GAGGAGGGAGACGAAGACAAAGGGGATAGAGAGAGAGAGAGAGCGAGAGAGGACAGAAACAGAGATAGAAATACAGAGGGAGAGATAAAAAGAGAGAGAGAGAGAGAGAGATAGATATATATATATATATGTAGATATAGACTAATGAGAGAAAGAAAGAGAGCCAGAGTGAGAGGGAAATGGACAGAAGATCAGGAGGACCCCACCGGAAGCAATTGCCTGTCTCGAAGATGGTAAAGAGTCTTTGCTTCCAGACCCGCTCGGCTGAAGCTTCTTTCTTGACCATGTCTAGCTTGGCATCAAGGTCTGTATTGTCCTTGCTGCCGGCCGTTTGCTGCTTCCACTGTGCACTGATGCTCTTGCGTACCTGGGCCAATGCAGGAAATATGTAAGCCAATACATGTCTGCAGGAGGCCACCAACAAGTAGACAGTGTCGTTGGATCACAATGCACAGTCAAGACACTTGAACTATCTCCCCCCCTAGCTTCAACAATCGCAATGGCGTCAGCTCCGAGACCACACCCGAAAGGAGAGTGGCCAGCTGGTTAGCAGTCAAGTCCGACAGGTGCAACTGGGCACGTTTGACTTGCAAACACTTTGGTTTCCTCAGATGATGACAGCAACTGCCGCACAGAACTATGAGACATGTTGAACAAGGACATCTGGAAACACTACCCACATGACCAATGATGCTCATCCCAGCTGCAAACCAAAAGCCAAGCCAACATTCTCCATCTGCTCTTTTCCTTCCTGAGATGTTAGCGACGGCTCCCCGGGAACCTCGTCCCCGGTGTCCGAAGATTGTGAACCTTCAGAGTATTCAGAGGGAGGCTTCTCCTTCTTGACCTTGGTCTTCTTCTCACTTTTTTCCTTTTCCTTTTTGATATCCCTATCAGACTTTTCAGTTCCTGATTTGCGCCGCTTGGGAGCAAACTGTTCTTTCTGCTCCACCTTTCGCCTCCCCATTGCTGCTACAATACAAAACTTGCCAGCATCTCGAACCAGCAATGTTAGAGAGCTGCCAATGTCAATCAAACGAATCCAATGAAAGACACAAGACAATGAACAAAGCTGTACTCGGAAATCTTCAAGCGCTCAAGATCACAGCTGCAGGGAGCACCCTGCATTCTGCGAGATCCGATTGAGAACCTTTTCTCATGAACCGCTTAATGTTCCTGCATGTGAAATGGCACATTGGCCTCGTCTGCCCTCATTTAAATTAATTAAAACCCTGCCTTGGCCCAGGAACCTGGACTAACAAAGAAATAACTCAAACAAGTACCGTTATATGAACTTACACAACCCCTGGCCTAAGCGGACTCTATGAGTACCATACAGGAGATCCTGTGCTGGGAGCTGATAGCCTCATCTAGTCGTATGCAGGTGACGAGGAAGTGCGGCATGCTTGCCACTCCTCGTCGGATGATGCTTCGACAACAGAGGTAACACCGTGATCCGCATTCTTTTCACTGCTACTGTTATAAGGGGCATTTAGCATAAGGGCCCGAAACCCAAAATGCATATCACAGGCCCCTAAAATGCATATTACGAAATGCATGTTCACGGGAATGCATATTGGGAAATGCACGTTTGGAAATGCATGTTGCCAAGAATGCATATTACGAAATGCATGTTCACGGACATGCATATCGGGGAATGCATGTTGGGAAACGCATGGCAACAACGGCCCCAAGGCTCAAGGTGAACGACACGCACACGATGCGACAACGGCCAGTCATGCTACTACACATGTGCACCTGTTTGAGATGTCCGACTGTCGTTTTGCAGAATCGCCCGCGAGGCGAAGGTCTTTGTTGCAGAGCCGACGTGACAGCTTGTCGCTGATCTCTGCACAAAAAGATTGGCCACTAAACAGCCACAGGCGACCACCACATCCAGTGTCAAGCTCACTACGTGGCTACCGTCACTACCGCTCTTGATGCTATTGCTACCGGGCTTGCTGCCAGCTAGGGGACAGCTAGTAACTATTACAATCTTCGACAGAGAGAAAACAGTACAATTACAAGAATAATAAGAATACACTGTTGAGTACACACGAATAATACACATTCAAGAGCATCATGCATAGCACCAGCCGTCCCGATTTCACATACAACAAGCAGTCGCCGATGGAACGAGTGGCTGGGCAGCTGCTGCCCTGGGTCAGCAAGCCTTTCAGGCGCTGCCGGGCTTTGTGCCCATCAGCTGCTGTGCCGCAGACCAAAGCGCAGGCTGGATCATGTTCTCATCCAAGCCATCTTTTTTGCCGACGGTGGCGGCATGCACATCCTCGAGCACTCGCTTTGCCTTGACTACCTCGTCTTGGGGCAACTTGAGTGCAAGTGCAATCACCTGTTCGGCGAAGATCATCACACGGCCATCCAAAAGCAAACGCCTTGACTCGGTGCAGGTGGATTTGATGTCCTCGAGGCTCGCATCCAGCTCGTGCTTGCTGAAAGCGGATGCCTGACACGACTCGTAGAAGGCCACGGTGTCAGAGGTCTCCTGCGGGCACGATGTAGTTTCCAAGTTTTGGGGTTGGGGGGTTGCGGTTTGCATTGGGTTTCGGGCTGCGGCGGCTACGGCTGGGGCGAGGTAGGGTTGCAAGGCTTGGGGCAATAGTAGCAGTAGTAGCACCGCATGGGCGTCAGAACCGGAGTTCAGCATCTCAGAGAAGGGTTTGGGCCTGTTTGGGCAGTAAGGCTGGCTGTTGGGCTATTACTTAATGGCCCTACTACCCTATCTAATGGTTAAGTGCTAGCTAGCTAGCTGACTATCCGAACTGAATTCGTTTGGCATTCTCCTCATTCGTGGGGCATACTTAGTCATAAAGAGCCGGAAGTGCACGGACATCGACTAGTTACACTACTGTAGCGATGGGGCTTGGACTAGGACCGGTTGACAAACGATACTGGAGGGGTTGTTGCCAAGGAAATATCGAAAACATTCAAAAACCGTCGAGACATGTCCTCGCATTCAACATCGGCACAGAACTGCAATGGCAACGGCAACGGAATGTTGTGTGCACTGTCTGTTGGTATCGACTGTCGCTGTCACCAGCTCTGTGGAAGTGCTGGGCCCATATGTCTAAGACTCTAAGAGTCTGGTCTATGTCAATGTCAGAGTCTAGGTAGACAATTTCACTCGGAAAAACAAGCATGAATATTAACTCACTAGGACTAAGTGACTAAGTCGAAACGCGAACTTCGTCAGAAATGCCGGGTAGTGAGTGAGTGGGTATTGATTAGAGGGATAATAAAGGCGGGGCACCAGGTGGCCACCAGCCAGTGGATTACCAAACAAGGCTTGATTTACGCTCGGGTTCTATTCTTGGGTTGTCTTACAGCAGCCACAGCCATATTCATGGCCGGGAGTGACTGCCACACTTCTACATTGACTGCACCGCTCTGAGTCTGCGTCTTTGCCTATGGTGTCTATGCCGTCACTACACTACACTTACTTCACCCCTCTTTGGTCTCCTGGCTGATCGAGTCGAGCAGCTTGCCCAAAGCTGCTCCACGCTGAGGCAAAGCGACGATTGTCTGCAAGGCGATTTCCAACACTGCGGTGGCGGAGCTGCGATTGTCAATGCTCTTCTTCCAGTCATTCTCCCCGATGACCTTGCTGAGCACGGAGTCCAGCTCCTTCAATCGCCTTTTCAAGCTTTCATCGAGTGAACTGAACACACGAAGCATGCCATCCACAATGACGTCACTTGTGAGGTGTCCAGCAAAGCATCCTGGACTGTCAACCGCCAGCAACTCCAATGTCAGCATCTGGACTCTGACGGGTTCCTTGGGAGCTGAGTCCTGGTCCTTGACACTAGTCTCCACGGCCACCAAAGCATTCATGGGATCAACCTCCGAGTCCATCGGCTCCGCCTCCTCTGTGGCCAACCCTTCTGTGGCCGATCCTTCATGCTGCTGCGATGCTCTCGGTTCCGCTCCTGTGTCCATCTCCTTCTGGATGCTCGCGGCCAGCGCCTCGAACGCAGTCCGGAGCTGGACAACGTTCTGCTGAAAAACACATGAGGTCCGGAGGACACCCAGCAGGGCCGCATTGGATTTGTCGCGAGAGAACCTCATTTCCACGTCCTTGCCCGTCTTTTCGAAATCGAAGATCGAGCGTGCGAGGGCGGCGCCTGACTTGAGCACCGTGCCATGAGTCTTGATCGCCTTCGCCCGCATGTCCTGCGCATCAAAGACCAGTCCCGCCAAAGCATCGATGAGCCCCAATCTTTTGATCATCGTCGTCTGTGACAAGCGCCCCTGCTCCTCCTTCACCTCACAACTTCACAAATGCATGCATTTTCCTGTCCTGGTCTTGGTCCTAGTCCTAGTCCTAGTCATAGTCGTCCTAGCAAGTCCCAGTCCTACGAGCCACTCAAGTGTCTGACTGTCCGTCACTGAAACACTGGAACACTCAAACACATCATTGACTGCAGTATCATTATAACTGTACCACTCAGCTCACCAGGTAACAGGTAACAGTCAACAGTTGACCGGGTTTCCAGTCAGAATCAAGAGCAGCGCACTACCACTGGTCACTGGTCACTGGACACCCCGAGCCCAACCACAGCCTAAAGTGTTAAGCCAAATGGATATGAAGATGATTCAATGACTCTGGAGCAATGGCAATGGAATTTCACGACGAATCGCACCTCCTTCAGCAGTGTGCGGAAGCAGCACACGACAAGCGAGAGCAGGGCCTCGTAGATGTCCTCCGTCTTCTCGTCACTCTGAAGCTTGCGCAATCGGGGCATGATCGCCTGGACTTTTGCGAGGTCGGCCAAAGCGTTTGTTTCCGACACAGCGGCAAGGTCCTTGAGGTCTACGAGAGCCATGGATTGGGCACTATCGTTGGCCCAGTCCTGAAGCTCCTTCATGATGTCGGGCACGCTGCTTTCGTCCTTGAAGATGCTCAAGCATTTCAGCAACGCTTCCACATCACGGCTTCTCACCCCGCTGACGGAGCCACCCAGGACATTCTGGGTCTGATCGCAGAATACATCCCTTGCTTTCCGGTTCAAACCTTGCACATGCACCTGTCGCAGCCCCTGACCCAGCTCCACAATCTCATCGTGAAGACCTGCCAGCCGGTCTGATGTGAAGGGCACCTGCCCAGAACTGAGCTGCTCGAGTGAAGACATTGTTCTCAGAAGCTGCGGCTGCAATCTTGTTGTGCTGGCGGCAGTCCGCACGATGTCTTTGCAGACAGCCCTCCAATCGGCCTCGGAGTCCACAACATCCCGGAATGTCTTTTCTGGGAAAGTGGCGGGCGCCTTCTCGATCAGCCAGGTGAAATCCGAACTCGTGATCGGTTTCATGGACTCCGGCACCTCTAGCGCCAAGACGCAGGCTATAAGCCTCATCATCTTCTCACATCGATCAAGCGTGGAATTCAGATTCCCCCATGACTCGGAGAGCATGTCCTCCACGTCCCGTTCCTTCAAGGCCTGAACCGCTTCCTTCGCCGCAGACAGGCCGTGAAGCATGGTAATGATGAAAACGCTCAGGCCCGGCCGATAATTTAGAATTGCTTTGAAGACCTGGAACAAGTAGTTGCAGCCCATAAACTCCAACAGCATAGTTCCGGCATCCTGGCAACGGTAACGGGTAACGGTTAACGTAGTAGTGCAGTACCTTACATACTCCTGCCTACGGACCAGGACCTACGGACCTACTGGCTGTAGCTTCCTGACATCCCAGGCAGCAGGCATCTGGCATGACCCTGCCCGACTCTACAATCTACAATCGAATCTACTATTACTCCAGTCCTGCAACATCTTCTGACACTCGTTCACCACAGCGTCCATTGCCGCCTGCGCCTTTGCCTCCTCTTCCATGCCCGTGGCGATGGACTCTGTCGTGTGCTCCAACTTCTGCATGCATTCATTCAGCAGGCAGCCGAGGCAAGGTGCATCGTACTGCCAAGGAGCCTTGGTCAAACTAGGAAGCACACAGTCCACGATGACCTGCGAGTTGCTCTCTCGCTGCTGTTGGCTCAGCTCCCCGTGAGTGGACTCGATGTCGCTCACAAAGGCCGCGAAAATGCGAATGGCATTCATCAAACTCAGCTTGGCTTGGAGGGACCATGTGAGTGACGGGGACAGGGGCTCGATTAGCTTCATGCGTTCATCTGCATCTTCTGCTTCCACCAAAGTCTGGGCCGAGTTTACCGCGAGCATCTGGGTCATTTCGCAGCTCCGAATCCGGGAGCACAGCAATCGATACTGCTGGGAGTCACCGGCGTACTTCACCATGTTGTCACGGATCTTCCTGGCCTGAGATGCGACGATACTATAACTTCGCATACTGACTGCTCACAATTGGGCCCTAGTGACCCAGTGCCATTGGTTCAACAGATTCCATAGGTTCAATAGGTCATAGGTCCTCTCCTGACGTGCTGAAACAGGTCACCTAGTCTGGACCAAATCTAACCCTAAACTAAACTTAAACCCTAGAATCGGGCCTAGAATCCTCCAAAAGCTATCGCCAAACACTCATAACGTTGTAGTCGTACCACTCGACCTGTGAATCCTGAATCACCCTTAATCTGAATGTTCATAATTTTCAAACCCTATCCCTATTCGCCCTGTTCTGTGAGTTGTCGAGCGAGCCGAGCTCCATAAGTCACAATCACCCTCGGATCATACCCTCTGCCGTCTGTCACTAAGCAACAGAAGGCGCGGCCGGCTTGACAATGGAATGCTTGTTACTACTGTTACTAGTTCCTAGTGCCCAAACTGACCCGGACTCACTGGATTCACTGTGATCAGGACCGAATAGGACAACTGTGCGACTGCATGAAATTTGCTGACCGGCTGACCATCAAACAACCAACACGGCAACCCCCCTCCCTGCCTTACCTACCAGCCGAGCCGAGCCCGAGCCATTATCCCGGCGCTGCTTCTCAGCACTGCTGCTGCCTGCTGTCACAAAAGCCATAGCCATAGCCGCTTAGCCGGCTTAGCCATAGCAGTAGCAGTCAGTTGCAAGGGAAATGCCAATGCCAATGCATTTCTATGCAAACGGAATGGCAGGATCTATTCATAACACTTCTTGCTACCGTACTAATGCTACTACTCAGTCACTACTCATGGGACAACAGCAGCAGCTATGTGGGCGGTTGTTGATACAATTGATACAACATTACACCTATGTGTGCACGAAATAGACTCAGAGACACGTTGCTGAAAATGCAACTACGTCACTATGTGTCACACATGGCCTCTCAAGACTCATACCAAAAATTCCAGCAAAGATCGAAACAAGTTGTCGAACAAGCTCTGCAATCAAGCAAGCCGCCCTTGTGACAAACAGGCGACTGCGAAACTGATGCGGCAACAACTGACAGCTGTTGCTGATAACGATGGCTAGCTAGCCGCAACCCTAGCAGGGGCATGGTCGGTCGGCGAGCAGTCTGACAATAACGGACAAAGTTAGGAAACTTCGAAAAAGCTGTCTATGAAACTCTGCAAGAGTTTGTGACAAACGAGCCATGACTTTCATACACACAGTTCTGCTTACTGCTAATTCAGCAGTGCTCAGCAGCTCCTGGTCCTACTTGTCATACTCAACTCCGCTGTGTGCATGGCCTTCTTCAGGACTCTTACAGAAACGCCAATAACGATCGAATGAACAAAATGCGTCCATCAAGCGTCGCATGGATTGTTGACAACCCGGACCCAGACACCGCTGCCGCTACAATACAAGCTACAATGATGCTGCTGCTATTGCTACGAGTACCAGAGTGCCAGTACCAGGTACCAGGACCCGGACCAGGACCAAAACAGCTGAGGCGAGGCACGGCCGGGAGGGCGTGTCCTCCGTCATGGCCCTGCGTCGGTGACATAAAGTTCTCGATGCGAAGATTTCCCTGTGACTTGACGGATCCAGACTTGCTCCCGTGCTCAATGTGGAATTGCGCCACTTTCTGCATGTCCTCATCCAGGCTGCTGAGTTCAGAATCCAGCTTCTTCGCCTTCTTGGATCCCGCGGACGTCACTGAGCCAGTGTCCAGGATGGCGGGACTCTCCGACGGAGGACGGCAGGAACCGGAAGCCAAACCCGCCGCAATCGTCGCTGGAGGCGCAGCCGCAGCAGTGGTCTTCCCAGCTGCTGCGGCGGTAGCGGCAGCAGTTCTCTTTTTCTTGCTGGGCCGCTCTCCGTGAAACTGCATGGCATCCAAGAGGGAGGAGTTCTGCAGGACTCGTGCTTGGGCTTCCGGGTCAAGCTCAGCTTCCTCCGCAAGCTCGTCCTGCAGCTGTTCTTCGATCTGGGCCGACAGCTCGTTCTCCAAGCGTGCGGCGAGAGCCCCGACCTGCTCTGCTGTCTTTGGCAGCGATGTGAGCTTCGGCATGCCGTCGCCGAAGGTGTCCTGCACCCATGCAAAGACATCGTTGCCTTGCTTCGGCATGAGTTGTGTCGAGCCGTTCAAGAACACATCTCGGCGTTCCAGGCTGCTCTCGATGTACACTTTGATTTTCGAAATGCCGTCCCGCGCCGCTTCGGATAGTCCCTCCTGTGGCTTGATGTTGGGTGATACAAAGAGACTTACAAACATTCCAGCTCGTGGCGGAGAAGCCTCTAAGCTAAGTTGCTATTTGCCTTGTACTGCTAGCTAGACTGCGAAGCACACTGCAGGCGTCCAGGGATATCAGGAAGTACTTGCTCCCATCTGCGAGCTGGACCATGTTGAGCCCCAGCTGCTGAGGCGTCTTCCCAAACATCTTCGTGAACTGCCCCAATGTGAGCAGGCCGTACTTGCGGTAGATCAAGTAACCATGGACGGTGTTCTTGCTGACCTCGTTCTGTGGCAAGAATGTCGGCAAGGCCTCGTTGTTCTTCTGAGCAGTGTCCTCACGCACGACGGCTTCGCGAGCAGCCGGGAAAGCTCTCGCCAAGTCGGGGCTTCCCTCATGATCATTGACCATGAGTGCAAACTGCTCGAACGTATTCTGCGGGCAAAGTCGCTTCGCTGTCGCCATGCAAAAGACATCACCTGCACTCGTGGGTGTGCCTCTGCTGTCCGTGACGAACGGGACTTCCTTGGATCAACCCAAAAAGAACCTCTGTGCTACCTTATCCGCCCTGGCCACGAATGCAGCAGCGATACGTAGTGTGGTGCAGTGAGTGTAGTGTAGTGTAGTGCAGTGCAGTGTCGTATAGCGAAGCTAGCTAGCAGCTAGCAGCAGTTAGGTCCAAGTGCAGTGTACACTGTAGTGACATGACACATCCCTCATTTAAGCAAGAAGCAGTGGAGGGCTTGCGACACGCCGGGCAGTGCAAGACCGAGCTTGTCCGTGCTGCTGCTGCTGCTTGCCTTCGGACAGCCGCTGACGGCTGTGGAGCTTTGGCCTTGACCAAAACACCGCCACCGTCCTTCAGCACCTTCCAGCAGAGCAGCAGCAATCTGGTTCTTCCCCCCCCCCCGCCCTGCCCTTCTCCCTTCTTCCTCCTCCCTAAGGCCCTAACTGCTCCGGACTTATACTTGCCTCTACACTCTACACTGGTCTTACTTGACCTTGCCGCATCACCAAAATGCACACAGACATGTAAGCCTTTACATTCCAACCTACCAGCACATACTTGCATATGTGTGTGTGTGTATACATCTTGTGCTGTATTAAATACGCTTAACATACTGATTATTCTGTGTATATATAGATATACATATATAGACTTATAGACATAGACTATAGACCCGTCCTAGGTGCATATACCATGGTCTACTAATACTAACCACTCCTATTCTATTCCGTTCCGATAGCCAGACCAGACTGGACAGCTCGACTCGACTAACAAGACTCAACAGCCCACTGGTGGCCCAAGTATACCTGACTCGGAACAGAGTACACAAGGCTTAGATGACTAGAGCTAGACTCGACGAAAGAGTCTGACTAGACTCGACTACGACAGCTGACTGGTGACTGGCCTATCCGAGACATAGACATAGCCGCTCCTGGCTGTGCCTAGAGTCTAACTAGACTAGACTAGACTAGACTTGTAGTAATTAGTAATTAGTACAGTGTGCCTGGATCTGATTCCACTGAAAGAAAGGAAACGCAGCACCAGATTAGTGAACCGACACCGGGCATTCCAGCTGTGACAAGCCTTCGCCCTGCTCGGTGCAGCCGACGTTTTCGGCGGCGGTGCCTTCGGAGCCATTGCAGGTCTAGGTCTAGGCCCAGGCGTCTAGGTCTAGGAATCCGGCCACCCAGACACAAAAGCGCCGGCAGGTCTGTCAGCCGAAAATCTTTGGCGTCAATTGCCCGGTCTCCAAGCTGCTGCTGCAAGCTGCAGTTCATCGCATGTCACTGGCTCAGTTCAGCGGGTCATGTTAAGACGGCAATTGTAGCAAGAGCAGCAAGAGTCAGGAGGGAGTGACTGACTCAGACATTGAGTTTCCACCTTCCGCTTCAGTTTAATTAGTAGTAAGTCTTAACAAGCACTGATATTAGATAATTTGAAAATATCCCAACCAGTCAGATCTCTTTCAGCGTCGTCGTCGTCACAGCTGTCCTGTCAGAGTATCTGCTAGGCGGTCCGTGCCCACAAACAGTCACAAACACACTTGCAGTCACTTGCACTTGCGCACCTGTCTCTCTCGCTCTCTGTCCCTCTCTCTCTTTCTCTACTCAACTCACTCTACCTACCCACTACTCACTACCACTACTCACTACTCAGCCCCCTCTCTTTCTCTCTGCATCTTTCAGAATCTTTCCATCGTTCGGATGCTGTCAGCAATGTGTCGAAGCGGCTTCGATTTCGAGGCAGGAAGCAGCAGATCAGGAACGCCAGTCCGAGAGAGCGCCAAGGCCCAAGGCCCTCAGGGCCATAAAGGCTCTGGACTCTGGACTCTAGAATGACCCTAGATTCGAGATTCTAGAATGTAGACTTGACATGCTGCTGAGCTGCTACTGCTGCTGCTGCTGCTGCTAAGATACTGCTAGGTAGCTTTGCTGCGGTGTGGTATATCTAGTAACTAGTAACTGCTCTAGTTCAACTAGATTCATTCCGTCATCCCCTGCTATGCGTTCACAAAAGCTGCTAGCTGCCAGCTGCTGCTAGCTGCTAGGGCTGGCTAGGGCAGGCCCTTGCATGGCACAAGAGTCAATCTGCAGACCCGGACCGCTGAAGGCAATCTAATCTAGCAGCTAGCCAGCTAGGTAGGACCAGGACCCAGGAAGGGATTGAACTCAGATGAGCCCATGTAGAATAATAGGATTCTAGGGCCAGGGTTCAAAAACCGTACCTTTATTAAACGGACCCGGACCCACCCACCCACAACAAGCACAAACCCGCCAGGACTGACTATGACTATGACAACGACTATGATGACGATTCGGCCTAATGGCCTAGCCTCCGAACCTAACCCTCCTAACCTCCTAACCCATCCTAATCCGCATAGGCATAAGCCTTATCAGAAGCCACCACGCATTTGGCGAGGAAAGCCAAGACCAGTGACCTACTATTACTAATACCAAAGACCGAAATCTGTATTGAAGTCAGTTATAGTGACTGTAGTGAAGTGTACCTTCCAAAGCAACGGGGCCCCCTTGACTCTTGTGAATCACAGGAGCGGCGGCCAAATGATTCGGGCCGTGGCTGCTGGCTGCCTGCTGCTGCTGGCGAACAGGCGAAACACTCCGACTCAGACTGAACAGTGAAGCTGCTGGCTGCCGGCTGCTGTCACGGCTCTCATGAGGGTCATAACGGGTACGTCGCTACAAGGTTGCAAGCACTTAGAGTCTTAGAGAAGCATGACTCGACTCGCCTCGAAGCCTGAGCCCAAACCGTCCAAACTCCCAACCTTGCCTGGGCCTAAACGTTATTAGCCGTTAGCCTAACTTTAGTGCACGCAACTCAGCAACGATGATGACTACGACTACGACTACGATGATGTCAGATGGTGTCACGTGAGGACGACTATGACTATGACTATGATTAGCCGCCGACTTTAGGCAACACCTCCTAGGTCCTAGGTGTTCGGGTCTAGTCCAATCAAGTCTGTGTAGCCACCCAGGGCTACGATGGCTACGGCTACGTCTACGTCTCTGTCTACGTCCGGACAGTTGAGGCACATGATCAAGTTACCAAGTCACCAAGTAGCTCGCATAATACGGAAGCTAAGGCAGCTAAGCTAAGGCAGGCTAGGTAAGGCCGGGTTTAGTGTCTGTCCAGTGGAAAGTAATACGTAATACCCTCCATGAAACTAGGGCAGTAGGGTCTAGATTCTTAATAGAGCAGCAATACTAACACTACAGTAGCTACTAATACAATGACTACAGTGCTGCTACAGTGTTCTACAAACCTGTCCAGAATTACCGAAATTAGCAGAGCAATTCCTAGTCACTAGTCACTGGTCCTAGTCCTGGTCCTAATCTGAATCATGACATCATTACATAGATTCTAGATTCTACATCGCTCGTAGCGTTGCCGGCTTAGCAGACAAGATAGATAGCTTTGAATGGCAGACTAGGGCCTCTAGGACTCTAGGGCCTCGGGGAACCAGGGCCTAGGGCTGGACTGGTTTGCGGTTTGCTGCTACTAAGTCAGCTTTTTGGTTATGTTGGGGCTAGGCTAGGCCACGAGGCCCTGCTGGCAAAGCATAAGCAATGCAAGTAAACATTGAGCGGGGCGGACCTGGACCTAGCTGCCTAGCTGACCTAACTGCTAGCCATATGCCCTACCTACCTGACCGTGCACCCCCAACTACCGCTCCAGTCCAGGTTTGGCCGGCCATCAGTGGCGCTGCTTCAGACTGCCGGGTGGGCAGCTGCAGCTGCAGCTTCCGTCACCGCAGTGGCTGCACTGAGGAGACTGGCAGCACCACCAGAGTCGCATGCCACCGTCAAACAGAAGACCACCGGCACAATATAGAGTAGTAATCTAGAGGTCAAGAATCAAGAAGTGAGCTGACAAAGCTAGTATTGACAACACGACAACTGAATCAAGCTCCCTCCAATTGGCATAAAAGCAGCAATCATGTTCTTTCGTTCTGAGTTTTTAGAGTGTCTTGCAGTCTTGCCGTCTTGCCAAGACTCCTAGTCCTACCGGGGTTCCAGGCCCTAGACTCCGGAGAACTAGCAGGCTATCCACATCATTCGGTATTGGAGTATGATTGCAGTCCTTTCAGGTTATTAGTTAAGGTAAGTTTAGTTGTCATTGCTGTCTTTCAAACCAACCAACAACACCTGCGACGGCGGGCGATCAAGGCGGTAATTAGAATCTACTCGGAGACGACAGTGTGCAAATGCCAGCCGCTACAGACTGGCTGGCGTGACTGCTTCATCGGCAGTGCAGGGACAATTGCGCAGCCGGCCCTAGCCCTAGCTAGTTGTTATACTACACCTGTACTGCTACCTGCCACCTGCTGCTGCCTGCTACATGCTAACAACACTTAGTCCAGCTGCGGCCTGCTCCGGTAGTTGTTCTGCTGGTTATTTGCCTAACTGCCGGCTGCTAGCTAGCTGCTAGCTGGCTACTGGCTGCTAGTTAGAATTACAATGATGAGTTACTGGCGACTAGTGACATGTGACAAGTGTCAGAACAAGCATCACTGAATGTTCATATGCCGATGTAAGAGCCAAAGTTCAAATCAGCATGCCCTGCATCGCCGAAGCAGAACTAGGTCCTAGGTCGTCTTACCAGGTAATTAGGTCACACTACGGCAGGCCCTTGACTAGATACATTGCCCACACGACAACGCCAAGCACAGGCAAACAAATGCCTTCGCCTGCAAGTTGCCGCACCTGGTTGCCCGAGGCAGGCAACTTGTATCCTCGGCGATGACCCTGTAGGAGCATGTACTCCTGTGGTACAAGAACACGATCCCTGCCGAAAGAGTAAAGGACGGTACTCGTCGTCAAACAGCCCACGGGCTTTCCAGGGCCGTTCACACTGCAAAACTTGGGGTTCTGCGAGACATCCATATAGGCATCCTGCAGCATGGTTTTCTTGTCTGTAAAACTCATACGCAGTGCATCGCAGGCTGTGGTGCGCTGCAGCAAAGCCTGCCACGCGAAAAGATCAAGAAGCTCACTCACGCGTGGATTCCTGGGCAGGCCAGTGCCCTGCATGTGCGGCGTCCAAGGCTTGAAGTCAGCAGGCATCTTCAGTCGTTCTCGCAGCTCACATGCTTGAACTTCCCACGAAGCGGCGCTGTGGGCCTGGGATCCGAGTCCATTGGGTTGCCGTGTTTGATTGCTCGACAGCTAAGAGCTAGGCAAGTCACGTAGTCAGCTTGTCACTAGTCGACTCTAGCAGCTAGCTAGCAGCTTGGCTTAGCAGCTTAGCAGCGACGAGTTGGCTCATCGGCTAATTAATTGCTAGTGACTTTGCTGCAGCAACACTTGTTGCTGTTGTTCTTGTTGCTGCTGCTGCTGCTGCTGCTGCTACTGCTGCTGCTCTTCTTCTTCTTATTATTGTTGTTGCTGTTGTTCTTGTCGCTGTTGTTGTTGTTGTTGCTGTTGCTGATGTTGTTGTTGTTGTTGTTGGTTGTTGTTGTTGTTGTTGATACTGTTGCTGCTGTTGTTGCTGCTGTTGTTGTTGCTGCTGATGATGCTGATGCTGCTGTTGTTGTTCTTGTTGTTGATGTTGTTGTTTGTTGTGGTAGTGACGGTGGTTGTGGTTGTTCTTTTTTTGTTATTGTTATTGATGTTATTTGTCTTGTTGCTTCTCTTCTGCTTCTTCTTCTTCTGAAAGTTAGTTCTGTTATTTATCTTGACAAACGATGTTGCTGTTGTGTTGCTATTCTTGTTGCTGCTGCTGCTGCGGCGGCGGCGGTGTCGGTGGTTGTGGTACGGTTTGCTGCTGTTGTGGTTACTGTTGTTGTTGTTGTTGGTGGTGGTGGTGGTGGTGGCGGTGGTGGTGGTGGTGGCGGTGGTGGTGGTGGTGGGGTTGGCGTTGGTGTTGATGTTGGTGTTGGTGTTGGGGTTGGGGTTTGGGTTGGGGTTGGGGTTGGAGTTGGGGTTGGTGTGGGTGTGGGTGTTGGTGTTGGTGTTGGTGTTAGTGTCGGTGCTGGTCGTCGTGGTGGTGGTGGTGGTGGTGGTGGTAGTGGTGGTGGTGGTGGTGGTCGTGGTGGCGGCTGTGGCGGTGGTGGTGGCGGGGCCCCGAAGAGGAAATATGCATTTTCTCTAGGGAAAATGCATATTTTGGGTCCAGGGCCCGGCCCGGGAAAATGCATATGCATTTTGGGGGTGCGGGGTGCATGGACGGTCGCCCGAATCCATATGCATTTTGCCCGGGCCGGCAGCCCGAGGGGAAATCTGCATTTTCCCTAGGGAAAATTCATATTTCTCCTGCGGCTGCCGGCCCGGCCAAAATGCATATGCATTTTGCCCGGGCCTGCCCCACAGGGAAAATATGCATTTTCCCTAGGGAAAATGCATATTTTGGGTCCGGTGGCCCGCCTCGGAGTGCATATGCATTTTCCCCGGGCCGGCCCCACAGCCAAAATATGCATATTCCCTAGGAAAAATGCATATTTTGGGTC